TATACACGTATATATGTGTATATATATATACATTTGTATACATTTATACATATATATATATATACATATATATATATACATATATAAATACATATACATATTCATATACATATATATGTGTATGTATATAAATATGTATAAATATGTATATATATATATATACATATATATGTATATATATATATGTGTATGTATATATATATGTATATGTTTGTGTATGTATATGTATATATATATATATGTATATATGTATATATACATATATATATATATATATATACATATATACATTTGTATATGTATATATACATAAATATGTATATGTATGTATATATGTATACATATGTAGGTATACATATATACATACGTATATGCATATATATGTTTGTATATATGTATATATATACATTTATACATACATATTTATATACATATATATGAATCCAATCAATAATTTTTTTTAAATCTCCACCCTGCGCTTTTAATCAAGATATATTTCTAACATAACTAGAAGTGATATCATGTCTAAGATAAATTATGAAAATATTCTCAATTGATTTTAACCTAAATTTAATTAAAAAATCTCCAAAATAACCCGAGATAAGAAACCAGGTATAACACGTGATCTGTGGGTTGAAACAGCCTAATTCAAAATAAGAATTTTCAGAAAAAAAGGTGCCTTTAGATAAGAATCAATTATGTAATACTGAAGGTTTTTTTAAGCTAAAATGCTCTATCATTTTTAATTATAAAGTTGAAATTAGTGATCAAATCAATCCTCGTATAAAATCGTGTTGCATCATATGTTCTTGGACATCTTGAATTCTCGATCGCCTCTTTGTAAAAGGACCTTCTGATAACCTCTACTTGCTTGGAAGAGGGGCGAGGATGAATTGTAAACGTTCCTCGTGGTGGCTACAGTCCATAACTTAAATAATACGTTGATACCTCGTTGGCGGCGGTAAAAAAGAAGAGCGAGCTGAAGGATGGAATCCCTGTAATGCATCAAGCTCTCATCGAGAACTGACAGCTGATGCTGATCATCGATGGAGGAGAAGGAGCACTGTTCTTGGAATTGGTTCCTTGCTACCGCTCCCTCCTCCGCTCCTGTGCTCAGGGTCGCACGCATCCCTGCGCCGGCTACGGCCTCCACGGGGCCGCCATCAAGTCTGGCCTCCTCCTCCTCCTCTCCGCCCCTCTCTTCCATATGTACGCCGCCCTACGCCCCTCTCCCGCCACCCCCATCCTCCTTCACGCCTTCGCCGATGTCCCCCGCTCCGCCCGCTCTGCCCCCGAGTGGACCGCCCTCATCTCTGCCCTCCCTCCCTCCTCCCTCTCCCTCCTTCTCTTCCGTTCCATGCTCCGCGACGCAGTTGCCCCCGACACCGTCACTCTCCTCGCCCTCCTCTCAGCGTCTGCCCGCCTAGCCAACCCCGTCGCTGGCGCCTCCGGCCACCTCCTCTTCCTCAAGCTGGGCACCCCCTTCTCTATCCCTGCCCGCAACGCTGCCCTCCACATGTATGCTACTTGCGGTCGCATGCCCGACGCTCGCCGCCTATTCCTCGAGATGCCCCAGCCGCCAACCGTTGTCGCCTGGACCGCGCTTCTCGCTGGTGCACTGCGCTGGGAGGGGCTCTCGAGCGGCCAGGAAATATTCGACAAAATGCCTCACAAGAACGAGGTTTCGTGGACTGTCATGGTTTCTGCCTGCATCGAATCCGGTCTTCCCAAAGAAGCCCTATCACTGCTTGCCCAGATGCTCTTCTCTGGTGATGATTACTATTTGGCCATAAGAAATCTCAATCACATTACCCTCTGCTCGCTCCTTTCAGCTTGCTCTCAGGCCGGAGATCTAAGAGTTGGCCGCTGGATCCATGCACACTTCACCAAAGCTGGTGGCATTTTGGATGGCAAAGATAACGATCTTGTCAAGGTGGGTACTGCTCTGGTTGATATGTATAGCAAGAGTGGAAAGGTCGATTTGGCACATCGAGCTTTTGAGATGATGCCGCGTAAAACTATTGTGACTTGGAATGCAATGTTGAGTGGGCTTTCAATGCATGGGATGGCTGCTGAGGTGCTGACATTGTTTAATCGGATGGTTGTGCATGAAGCTCAGCAGCCTGATGATATCACTTTTGTGAACATTCTTACTGCTTGTAGCCGCTCAGGTTTTGTGGATCAAGGCCGTAAAATTTTTCATGATCTCTACCCAGTTTATAGTCTGAAGCCCAAGCTTGAGCATTTTTCCTGCATGGTCGATCTTTTGGGCAGGGCAGGTCAGTTGGAGGAAGCTGAGGCTCTGGTTAGAAAGATGCCCTTTCAGCCGAATGTGGTTATTTTGGGTTCCCTCCTAGCTTCTTGTGTCCTTCACAGAAGGCTAGAATTAGGGCAACACCTCATGGATGAGCTAGTGCAGATAGATCCTTATAATACTGAGTATCACATGCTGCTATCCAACATGTATACTTCATCAGGTAGGCATGCAAAAGCTGATAATCTTAGAATGACAGTGAAGAAAAATGGGAGAAGGAGATATCCTGGAATTAGCTATATAGAAATTGATGGTCATGTTCATTGTTTTAGTGCTGGTGATAGATCACATCCTCGGACAGAGGAATTGTATATGATGTTAGATGAGGTGGTTCAGAGGTTGCAGTCGGCTGGGTACATTCCTGATGCAGCCTCTCAAGTTTCATGTGTTCCTGATAATTACCTAGAAAATGGTGATGGGCAAGAAGAGCGAGAGCAGGTGTTATTAGCTCACAGTGAGAGGCTTGCCATATGTTACGGTCTCATTAGCACAAAGCCTGGCATGCCTCTCTTGATATTTAAGAACCTTCGTATTTGCACTGATTGCCATGTAGCAATAAAGCTTATTGCAGACATATATAACAGAGTCATTACCATCAGAGACCGGAACCGCTTTCATTGTTTTAAGGAAGGTGCCTGCTCCTGTTCTGATTATTGGTGATTTGTGATTGACGTCTCTATTGTTTCATGAGAAAGCCCTGAGAATTGTTGTTTCCCTGAGACCTTGAATCAGGTCCTGAAGAGACTATCACTATCAATTCAAGCAGGGTTAAGAGTGAAAACTGAAGATGTGAAGTCACAGTCTTCTCAGGCCTTATTATTCTTTTTATAATCAGAAATTTTGAGATTAATATGTACGGAAAAGGTAGAAAGGCCCAACAGCAGATGAGAAATGTAGTCAGATGATGGATTTCTCAAGTTGTCCCTAAAGGTAGCTTTCTCTTATAGACTAGGTTTATGCAACAATAAAAGAAATGAAAATGACTGTCAAGACAGAGTGTCATATTCTATTTGATAATAAATTATGAGATTTCATTGCAAAAGATGTTGATAAATGAAAGATCAAAAGAGGCCCTTGGATAGACATTCAGATGAGATGTATGTGTTGCCTTTTCTGCCACTGTTTTCATAATCTCAAGTTTAATCAAAATATGTTGCATAGCAAATAAACAGATATTGTGACTACATGTTATTTCCACCAGTTTAATTTTAATCAATATTGTTTTGCTGAAGGACAACTAGATTCAAGCAATCTTTGTGAACCAGGCATGTCAAAAGCCTGGGAGGCAAGATGCCTGTTGGTGTCGAGGATACCGTTGGAGTAAATGCTGATGTTGAATGTGAATATCCTTACAGACTGTCATTTACTTGGCATAAAGACTTCAGCAGCAATATATTCCTGTTGGAAAGCTGAGAACTTGTGAATAGTCCAGAGTGATGTGCAGGCTTTGTGAAGTTTCGAATGGATTGCTGGCTTTGTGGATAATTTAAAATTGGTTTCTGCTTTAAGACATCTACTTCAATGCTGTATTATGTTGGATCTCTCTGTAGAAAGGAAAATGTTTTGGACACATGATTTACTGTTGATCTCTTGAAGATGGATATTCACCATTCTGTTTGCATAGTTCAAGCATCCAAAAAGATATCCAAATCTTTTTAGTTCTCTGTTACATCAGCTATCCAAATCTCCCTCGGCGAAATTCTTCTTTCTAACAACTTGGGTGTCTCAGGGACAACTTATTCCCATCTCGGGTCCAAATCTGGTTGTATCATTTTATTAGTATCATGTTGAACAATGGATGATCCACTTTGAGATTATCATTATGTCCTTTGTAATATTATTTAATAATCAAGAGATTCATTGAATCTGAGCAAACGGAAGAAAATGTAGGGGGAATTTTTAGCTTTGTCAAACTACCACTAGAGAAATAAAAATTGTTCTCAGTATTAAGAGTAAGAGTTGCATCTCTTTCTAGGAAACTTAAGGGCTTCGATACTAGAACGGCATATTAAATAAACATGTTTAAGACAAAGTTACTTCCTCTCTTTCTAGGAAACAAATTACCCGCCAGGAAAGTAATTAAAATTAAAAAGTATTTATCTTATTGTTACGACAAATTTTGTAATTGAGATGGTTGGGCTTGTGAAAACATTGAATGCTCAATTGATGGGCGGGTGTTGTCCATGATAAAAGATTTATGAAATGGAATAATTGACGATAGAACTGATTAATATTTTCCATGACTTGAAAAAATTATTGAATATAAAAATGGTAGAAGATGCAAAATGATGCTTTGACAACCTTAGAGTTTGGAAAAAAACAAAGCATCTTCTTCATTTCATTAACTGTCAATATATAAACAAAATATTTCTCTATAATATAGTACATTTGAATTCATATTTTGCTTTCAATACCCTTTTTTTTTTATATATATCCATCTTTCTTTTTTTCCCTTAACTTATTTGAGCTCTTCTTTTCATATCTATTATTTTAAGGGAATTATATCTATGTTTCTTACATTTTTCCCACATTATGGAAAATGACCTGATATTACTCTTCCCATTCCAGTCGGTAAAAAACACTTGAAATGTTAATGAGCCCCCTACATGAATGCAAATTCTATGAAGTGTTCCATGCATGTCAGATTTATTTTTTTTATAGACAAAAGAAATTAAACTTTACTAATTCTAATGAAAATAAACATGATTTTTTCGCATCACAACAAACCAAAAAATTGAACTCTAAGCAAAAATTAGTAGTTTTGGTGGTCCAAAGGATGCCAACTAATTAGCTACATCATTTTCTTCTCTAAATATATGAAATATATTACAATTATTAAAAAATGATAAAAAAATTTAAATCTTCACAACCAAAGATTGGATTCTCTAAGGAGGGGTGTGTTAAATTAAGATGTTGGTCAAGACTTTTGAGTTAGTCTCAATATGTAATATAGGTATATCCTCCTAAATGATGAGACTTTAGGGTTTTATCATAGAAGAAAAGAGAGAAAAGGGGATGATCACTTTGAGGGGATCGACTTCCATGATCACTTCAAGGGGATTGACCTCCTAGGATTTATCAAAAGACTGAATAATATTTCATTGATTGTTGACCTCCTTATTTATAAAGTTCCACCTAGAATCCACCTTAGACTCTTAATAAATAAATAATATCAAATACATTTTTATCCGACTCTTACTAGACTAGATCGACTTAATAAAATATTTATTCAAAGCTTAGAAAATAAAAGGATTCTCACAATTTCTGTCGCTTCAAATCAGCCTTATTCTCAAGTCTTAGAAGCATCAAACTCGAGGAGCTTAGTAGCACTTCAGTCATAGGGACTCGGCAACGCTCACAACTTGTTAATCAAGTAAGTACGGTCTCCACTTTTTGATAGTGTAAGCAACGGCCTTTCAGTGTAGTAATCATCGCAGTCTTCTAAAGAACCTTCTTCATTTGATAGCTAGTGACAATTGTGACTTTACTTCCACGTTTTCCCTTTAGGATCACCTGCTTTTCATTAATAAAATACTTCATTATTAATTTAGAAAAAAAATTTAAAAAATATCACCTAGGGTTGATAGTCATTCAATTCCAGCACCACTTCAAAGTCTTCCAAGGATAGCAAAATGAAGTCCACAAGTAACTCTTGGCCTTGTATACTCAATTTTAACTTTAAACATTTGCTATCACAAGTTAAAATCCATCCATCAACGACCTTTACTTAAATTTATCACAGCTTTCAATGTGGTAGGCCAATCTGTCAATAACCATACTATCCATAAAATTGTTAGTGCTACCAGTATCAATCAAAACTGTAACATGTTAATGTTCTAAAGTTCCTCCAACTTTCATAGTTTATGGGTTAGAGAAGCCGGCTAATGCATGTATTGTATGTATGATAGGTCTAACATCTTCATCAGAATCCATACCTTCATGATCGGAGTCCACAATGCATTGTTACTTTCTAGTTCTTCCTCGATTGGTTCAATCATCAGAAGTTGCCCTTGTTTACATTGGTGCTTCTTACTCCACTTTTCATCATAGTGCCAGTACAAACCCTTTGTTGATCTTTCCTTGAGTTCTTCTCGGGTTAGTCTTCAAGTGTTAGGGTTTTGGTTGGGAATAGATGAGGCGGGTGGCTTGCTAATCATCTATTTGTTGTCACTTTTATTTTGACGATTTTCCCTACTGATTTTCTCTTTATACAAACGTGCAAATGAGATTATAGCTATCATAATGCAGGGTTGGCAAGCTTTAATTTCACACCAAATATCTAGATTAAGTCCTTTAATAAATGTTCCCACCAATTATCGTTCGGACTAGTCTCTCGCTTGATTTGACAATCGTTCAAATCTACTATGATATTCTAGCAATAGAAATCTAGCGAATTTAGCAAGCTGCCCATCAACATTCTCATATTTAGATGGTCCAAAGTGAATGAGAAGCCATTTCTTGAATTGACGTAGAGTTCAGCATGTTGCTAGGCCTTAAGTGGTGCAACGGGGACTGTATTGACGTAGAGTCGTAATCTAGCAAGTGCGTTTGCAGGAGGCAGAATAACGCATAGTTTGTTCAGCAAATTGGAGTAGTCCAAGGGGATGGTGGTCTCCAAAACGAAGAGAGATGTTGCTCCAACGAGACAGTTATCTAGGAGGGATAAGTCCCGGCTCTCTAGAGGCAGAATCATGTGGGACAAACCGCACATATTGAGGAGGAGTACCTCAATAAATAGCAACTCCACGAAGCTCAATGGATCGAGCAAGCGGCGAGGAGTCGTCGCATGATCTCGCTTGAGAGAATGCATTGGTGGATGCATTGCGAGATCAAGTGGGAGAGTGACCCAAAGCAACACAAATGTAGGCACACTTGGAGTCGATATGGAGACCGGACTCAAAGGAGGGCTAACCCATGGAATGGTGGGCGCGAGGGCCACCATCAACTCAATGTAAATAGAGGAGCGGAGCTACTTGGGTGTAACTTGGCGAAGTACCCATGCTGCATGAAGGGAGCCAGCATAGAAGATGGTACATGGAGCAGAGGCACAATGCTTTCCTTGGACAGAGGTCAAGGACATGAACTCTTGTAGAGGCAAGAGCAGGATCATGTTGTTCCATGGGCCCTTCATTCTGACGGAGCAGACTCATCTTGTAAGGTGCCAAAGACGAAGGGAGCTTCTGGGCACATGCACCTTATCTCGGAGAAGCATTTGATGGAGGAACTAAGGTGACTCAACTTACAAAGGCGAAGTCAGGTTCAGAAGGCTTTGACACGGGACAAGAGGACACGGAGGCGGGTACTCTTGAAGAATATGCCATAGTGTTACCAGTCAAGTTGCTAGGCAGGAAGCAGTGCGTAGCAAAGATTATGTTGGTAGGGGCAGAGGCCTAGGATCCAGACAATAGTACACCATTTTCAACGAAGTCAGTGGACTTCGGGAGCTACTAGGCGATGGACTGTCCTAGAATGGTGCTTCATCTAGGTGTGATCCAAGAGTGGGTGGATGAAGGTCGATTGCCAAAGGAACGAACAAAATCGAAGGTGGAAGAGACCCTACGATGTATTAGCAAAGGCCACACGTGGAGGGATCACAATTCGAGTTCATCCCACATGGATCATAATGCAATAGAGATGTCACCAGGAGGCGACATGGTGCAGCGGATCATGGTGGAACAGTTCGTGGCAATGCGATAAACATGACATAGTCCTGTGAGGGACTAGATCATACGGAGGTATGATCAGGAGCTATTAGAAGCTCCACTTTGGTAAACAACACGACGGCAAGAAGGGCTATGGATTCAAGGAGTGAAGGCTATGGTACCACAGAGGTAGGTCTTCCGTGCATGTATCGAATTTTGCATCGGATGAAAGCCTTGGTCATCAGCATATGGGGGTTGTGTTCCACCAAGGAAAAAGTTTGAATGCATGTACCATTGAGTCCCATGGGAGGGACTTGATCATGCAGAGGTATGATCGAAGCAACTAGAGAGTTGGACTGCTCTAGAGCTTATATTCGCTTAAGGGAGCCCGGCAAGTCAGAGGACAAGGTCGAGTAAGCGAACATTGCTACCAAGGAAGCTAAGGAGAACAGAATCGGTGCAAATCCTATAACGTGATGGCAGAGGCCATGCATGGGAGTTGTAGTCTGTCTTTCCATCGACCAAAGGGAGTTGCTTGGAGAACTCAAAGGTGTTGAAGCAGGGGGTCGAAACGGGTGAGGAAG